TTTCTCCTTTAACACATTTTTTTAAAAAATATCTTTTATCAGTTAGGCACTTCCTGCTTATACCAAGTTAAAAAAATCAAATTTATTGGAGCATAATTTATTTATAACAAATTCAACCATTTTAAGTGTACTGTTTGATGGATTTTGACAAGCGTATCTCCACCACACTCAAGATATAGAACATTTTCGTAACCAAAAGACATTCCTTCATACTTCTTTGCAATGACTGCCTCTCAACCTTTGTCACTAGGCAACCACAGATCTAATTTCTGTTACTATAGATTAATTTGCATTTTCTAAAATCTCATGTAAATAGAGTCAAACAGTATAAACACTCATTCGAGTCTGGCTTCATTCACTCAGCATGAGGTTTATGACTTCAAGCACATTGCTGCATGGAACTGTATCATTTCCTTTTACTGCTGAGTAATATTTCATTGAATGAATAAACTATGATGTATTTACCCATTATCCTGTTGGCAGACATTTGGGTCATTTAAGTTTTGGGATTACTATGAATAAAGCTGCTATGAACATCTTTGTACAGGTCTTTATGGAATTATATATATATTTTGGCGGGGGTTAATACCCAGGAGTGGCACTTCTTTTCTTTTTTTTTTTTTTTGAGACAGAGTCTTGCTCTGTCACTCAGGCTGGAGTGCAGTGGGGCGATCTCAGCTCACTATAACCTCCACTCCCCGAGGTTAAGCAATTCTCCCACCTTGGACTCCTGAGTAGCTGGGACCACAGGTGCTCACCAATACGTCTGACTTTTTCTTTTTCTTTCTTCTTTTTTTTCTTTTTTTTTTTTTTTTTTGTTGTATTTTTAGTAACGACCAGGTCTCACCATGTTGCCTAGGCTGGTCTTGAACTCCTGAGCTCAAATGATCCACCTGCCTAAGCCTCCCAAAGTGCTGGGATTACGGGTGTGAGCCACCATGCCTGACCGGAATGGTATTTCTGGGCTGTATGTTAAGTATGTGTTGAGCTTTATCAAAGATGCCAAAATGTTTTCCAAAGTGTCATTTACATTTCTGTCAGCTACCTATGAGCGTTTCTATTGCGCCACATCTTTGCCAATGCTTGGTATTGTCAGTCTTTTTAATTGTGGCCATTCTGTGCAATTATATTTCATTATAGTTATAATTTGCGTTTCTTCGAAGATCAGTGATTGGAGCAAACTTTCACGGGCTTACTGACCATTCACATATCTTCTTTTCTTAAGTATCTTTTCAAATCTTTTGCCTATTTTAAATTAAATTGTTTATCTTTGTATTAAATTATAAATGTTCCTTATATATTTTGGATACCAGTCTTTATATTGGATTGGTATCTTGGTATCTTTATATATCTGGTATATAATTTCCAACATTTTTTCCAAGTCCATGGCTTGCATTTCCATTTTCTTAAAGGTGTCTTCTAAGGCATAGAAATTTTTAACTTTGATAAATTCAAATTTATCTACTTTAAAAAATGATTCTTTATCCTTTCTTACTCCAAAGTTATGAGAATGTTTCTCCTATGTATTCTTTAAGAGAACAGCTTTTGTTTTAATATTTAAGTGTAGAATCCAGTCCAAGTTGATTTTTATGTTTGGCATGAGGTTAAGGTTAAGGTTCATTTTTGTTTCCAAATGGATATACAGCTGTTACAAAACCACTTGTTGAAAACACAGTTCTTTCCGCTTTGAAATGTTCTAAACTCACTTTATAAATTTAATATTATTATTTTATATTAATATATTAATTCATATACATATTATTATTATTAATATATTAATATTATTGTTTTATGTCATATTGTTTTGATTTTTTGATCCCACAAATAAGAGAGAACATGGAGTGTCTGTCTTCCTGTGCTTAGTTTATTTTACTTAATAAAATAATAATGACCTCCAGTTCCATTATTATTGACTCTTTTTGGCAACTGTTGCATTGACATATGGGTGGCCCTATCTCTATTTAAAAAAAAATTTTTAATTTTTAATTTTTGTGGGCACATAGTAGGTATATATATTTATGGAGTACATGACAAATTTTGATACAAGCATGCAATGTGTAATAATCGCATCATGAGAAATGGGCATCCATCTCTTCAAGCATTTATCCTTTGTGTTACAAACAAACGAATTATACTTTTTTAGTTCAAATGTGCAATTAAGTTATTATTGACCACAGTCACCTTGTTGTGCTATCAAATACCAGGCTTTATTCATTAATTCTATTTTTTTGCACCCATTAACTATCCCAGCTTCCTCCACAGCCTCCCTATTATCCTTCCCAGCCTCTGGTAACCATTCTTCTACCCTCTATCTTCATATTGTTTTGAATTTTAGATCTCACAAATACAAGAGACATTGGGATGTTTGTATTTCTGTGCCTGGTATATTTCACTTAACGTAATGACCTCCAGTTCCAACCACATTGTTTTACATGACTAAATCTCATTCTATTTTATGGATGAATATTACTCCATTGTGTATAAGTACCACATTTTCTTTATCTATTCACCTGTTGATGAACACTTAGGTTGCTTCCAAATCTTGGCTGTTATAAACAGATCTGCAACAAACATAGGAGTGCAGATATCTCTTTGATATACTGATTTTCTTTATTTTGGGTATATACCCAGTAGTGGGATTGTTGGGTCATCTGGTAGCTCTACTTTTAGTTTTTTTTGACTCTCTGTTTTGATCCATTGATCTACATGTCCATCTTTATGCCAGTTCCCCACCATCTTGACTACTGCACCTTTTCATTAAGTCTTGAAGTAAGGTAGGTTTAGTTCTTCAGCTTTGTTCTTTTTGCAGTTGTTTTGGTTATTTTAGTTTTTTTTGCATCCCCATATCAAGTGCTACAAAATAACTGCTGGGATTTTTATTGAGATTGCACTAAACCTATAAATAAAATTTGGAGAATCTACATCTTAACTATATTGGGCCTTCCAGCCCATGAGCATGATATATCTTTGTGTTTATTTAGTTTTTTACTTTATCTCAGCAATATTTTATAGTTTTCAGTGTATGAGTCTTGCACCTATTTTGTTGAATTTTTCTCAAAAGTATTTTCTGCTTTTTGAAGTTATTTTTTCTTAATTTAATTTTCTGATTGTTGCATGTAGAATTATAAGTGACTTTTTGTAAATAGAACTCATGTCTTCACTTTGTTAAATTCACTTATTATTTTTAGCAGTTTATTTGTAGACTCTTAAGGTTTTTTAGTCATACAATTATACCATGTACAAATAAAGGCAGTGTTAATTCTTCCTTTCCAGTCTATATCCCTTTGATTTCTTTAAATATAGTGAATTATACTGATTGCTTTTTGAATGTTAAACCAACCTTGCATTCCTAGAAAAAACTCACACAGTTGTAGTGTATCATCCTTTTTATATGTTGCTGGATTGAATTTGCTAATATTTAGTGAAAACTTTTTGTATCTGTTCTCATGAGGGAGAATGGTTTGTAGTTGTTTTCTCACATAAGAGCTTTTTTTTCCCCTCTGGTTTGGGTATCAGGGTACTATTGGACTTATAAAACAAGTTGGGAAATGTTCCATGCTCCTCTATTTTCTAAAAATTTTTTTGTACGATTGGTATTAGAATTCACCAGTCTACCACCTGGGCCTATAATTTCATTTGGAAATGGTTCTTAACTGTGAATATAATTTCTCTAAATGATGCAGAGCTAGTCAATTTTTCTTTCTCTTTGAGTCTGTTTTTGCCCTTTGTGTCTTTCAAAAACCATGTTCATCTAACAGCCTCCCAGGGGAATATGGATGGGCCCCTTACCCTAGCCCTCCACCATCTGACTCTGCTGACCTGTCAGCCTCATCCTGCACTGGTCTTTGCCTTCACACCTTCATCGGCAGCCATCTGAAGTCTTTCTGCTTTTGAAACACATGAAGCTGTATCTTGCCTCAAAGTGTCTCTAGTGGCTGTTCCTTCTGCCTGGAACACTTTTCCTGGCTTTTTATATAGCTGGTTTCAGTATGATAACACCTCCTTTGAGAGGCCTTTGCTAACCTTCCCTGCCAAAATATCTTCTACCTGTTAATTCTTTCTTGGCTGGTTTATTGTCAATCTCTCTATACTGCTCCAGTGTGGGACCCAGTCTGATTGTTCACCTCTTTGCCTGCAGCACCTAGAATACCTAGTATGCCTTCAAATGTGTGTTAATTAAAAACATGACTGAATGAATGAGAAATGAAAGTTGGATAAACTCTCTGAGCTTTAGCTTCCCTCTGTAAGGAGAGAAGCTTGCATGGCTGTGGTGAAGATCAGCACTGATATCTATACCTCCAGGCGCTGTGCCTGGCACATGGGAGCTCAGAGAGTGGGGTGTTACAGGAAGCCAAGTTCCAGCTTCCACTGGGATACCAGGATACAGTGGATACCAAAAGCGAGTTTTGAGATAGACCTGAGGGTGTTTCACTGGCTAGAGACATGTCCTCTGAGGTTCTAAAAGTGCAAAGTGGTGAAGATTCATAAATTATTTGTGATAATTTCTTTAAAGACAGCCGTACCTTCCATTACCCCCTTGGAGGTTGTATTAGTAGGCAAAATAGATTAAGGCCAATATGACCCAACCGTAGGTTCCTCTTCCTTAAAAACCTTTCTTGTCTCTTCTGGGTGCTGCCTACAATTCCACCATTTCAACTTTCAGCTTTAACTTGTGGCTGCTAACCTTCCCAAATGCAGGTTCTCTACGGAAGAGTAACTCTTTCCACTGAAACAAGTCATATTTACCCACTGTGTAATGTCTACTGAATCTAGGCGACCCAGTGAGAATGAATCTGTTTAATCTCCTCTGGGTGCTTGGGAACAGGGCAGGGTAGGGCAATGAGGGAGGCCTTCTTTATTTTGCCAGGGACCAGCTCTGTTAGCCCCAAAGCAGAGCCTGCCGCATTCAGACAGCACTATACTCATGTCTGGAGCTGTTTTCTGTTGGGTTCGTTACCTTCACTGGGGCCATCTCACACCCCTGGCCCCGGCTTACTTACCTCTTTGTTTATATATCCATCCTTATTGATGTCATACAAATTAAATGTCCACCTTAGTTTCTCGTGGACAGTTCCTCTGAGTAAAATCGACAGAGCGGTTACAAAGTCCTGAGAAGGGGAAGAGGCAGGAGTGACATTAACCATCAAGCCATCAGGCAGGGTGAAGCTGTGTCTTTGGGTCAGACTGTGATACTCTCACAGAGTGGTGCCTCCTGCATCCCCTTGTCTGCCTGGAGGATGCGGCTATGCTCAGTGAAGGGCTCCCGCCTTCCGTTCCTATCCTGCCCCAGTTTTTAGGCAAGGTGCCCCGTTGAGGAAGAATGGAGCTCTGAGAGACACAGATCAACACAGCCAGCCCTGTTATTGCCTTATCCGTGGCGGTAACAGAGCAATGGTCTGTCTATCACCCCAGTGGCCATATGGTCTAGTGGCTGAGGATGTGGACTGTAGGAACAGTCTGTATTGAGGGTCATACTGCCTGCATTCAAATCCCTCCTTTATCATTTGTGCGCTCTTTGACCTTGGGAAAACTACTGTCTCTCTTTGCCTTACTCTCCTCTTCTGTAAAAGGGTAATAAATAAAAAAACCTTATCCTATAGGGTTATTGTGGGGATGAGAGTAAATGAATTAATACACACGAAGCCTTAAGTACAGGGCTGCCACCTGGGAAGCAGTGTCCCCAGGAGCTCATACACTGTTGTTATTAGTCCCCCGAGCCCCTGAGTTCCCGCAGGCCAGGGGAAGTTTCTGCTGCTTCTCCCCATGTTCAGGAAGTACTTATGAATGGATAAAGGTGTCTTTGGTCTTAACTGAGAGCCTTTGATGGTCCAGCCCTTCCCTCAATGCCTCAAGGTTTAGAGGGGGAGGTGATGTAGAACCCGGGGACCCACTAGAGTGAACCCCAGATGAGCATACCTCAAACTTCACGGAGCCTGTCTGGGTGGTGTCGAAGGCATTGAAGAGGTAATGGGCATACGTGCTGGCATCTACAAGGCAGAAAGGGAGGGGAGGTGATGGGGGCAGGAATTCCACACCGGGGGAACCTTCCAAACAAGGCAGGGCTTTGTTCAGAAAGAGAGGAGAGTGGTGCTGGGGTGATGGAAAGGAGAAAATTATGGAGTGGGGCCTGTTAACTCAGGTCTTTGGGTGTAGGTGGGAAGTTAGATCTAGCAAAAGGTAAGATGAATCCTTGTCCCGCCCTCTAACCATCGTGAGAAAACCATTCTCCTGCCTGTCAACGTGCGGAATCCTTAGTGTATGAATGATGCAGTGACTGCATGACAATGTTGTGAGCGGCCGTGCAGTGCCTGGGATGAGCACTCACTTCAGAGTAGACTGACTTGAGCTTGGATGCTGCTGTATTACATAAGCTGTGTGACTGTGGGCATCAAACACGACCTCTCTGAGCTTCCCTCTCCTACCTCTCTACAATGGGATGAGAGCAAGACCTATCTCTTGAAATTGTTTAAAAAGTATGTTAAGCTAGAGCTGTGCCTCGCATATAGTGAGAATTCAATAAACAGTGGCTCAGTGGAACTCAGAAAACTGCAATTCTGTGGCCTGCAGGGGACAAAACTGCCTCCCCACCTGATCTAGGTAGGGCCCCCACACACCTAGGAAGGCATCTGTCTGCTGCCAAAAAGGCCCATGAGAAACAGGGCCTAGGAAGTGTGTGGAATGCTTGGATCTCCATTTTGTCAGGATCCAGGGGAGGTGTCTTGCAGGAGACAGTTCTTGGGGACAGAATGCAAGGTGGCATGTGACATATGGAGGCCACAGAAGGAGCCACTGGTGTGGTCCCAGGCCCATAGGGACAGAGCAGAGCCCTACAGGAGTCGAGCAGGGCACCAGAGCAGCTGCTGTGGGCCTGGCATACTTGTAACCAGGCTGAATAAGCAGAGCTTCACGCTCCCTGCCGTTTTTTTGGATTAGTTTATTTTTATAGTCTTTGGTATTTACTAAAGTTCTTTTACAAATTCCAGCTTGTCTCAGCTATTTGAAGGAAAAGAATCAAAAGTGTTCTGCACAATGGTGGTGCCACCATGGCAAAACTCTGCTTCAGACCCTTATGGGATGTAGTCTTGGTCTGCCGTCCACTAGCCGTGCAATCTTGAGTACATTGCTTATCTTCTACGAAACTCAGTTACCCCATCTGGGGTTACAATACCTGCTTTCTAGAGCTGTTCTGAGACTTTGTGATGTTGCATTATCAGCCCTTCTTCCCCTTCCAGGGCGGGTTTGTTTTGAGAGTTCTTTCGTGCTAAAGCTTTGGAGACTCCCACATCTCACGATGAGGGAGGTGTCCTGTCTTCCTTGAGATGGAAGCAGATGGTAAGGAAGAGTGGACTTGGAGGAAGGGGAGGCTGCTCACCAGAGAGGGAGCTGGGCAAGATAGTTTTCAAGGTCAGACTCACCTCCGTGAGGGAAAAACTGAGCATAGATCTGCTTGAATGTGTCTTCGTTGACCACACCGCTGGGACACTCCTGTGGGAAGGACAGAGAGTCAGCAGGAGGCATCTGGGGACCCGCACTAGGAGGAGAGGCCTGGGCCCAGCTTTGGCATCTGGGTTTCCTCATGATCCCCAGGGGCAGGGATGGGGCAAGCACCTGTGCCTTTCCTCTTCTCCAAAGTAGCCCCATCTCAGGACTGAAGCTGCTTTGCAAAATGATGAGACATTATCAGAGAACGAGCACTGTGAAGTGGAGAGATTTGGCACTTTAGGATCAGAAAAATCTGGGTTAAAATCCTGGCTCAGCCAATACTAAACTTTGTGATTTTGGCCAAGCCAGTCTCTGATCCTCAATAGCCTTTCCTGTAAAATGGGGCTAACAATACCTTCCCAAAGGGTATTTTATGAACCTATGTTAGGTGTTACTGAGTCCATGGTAGATACCAAGCGATGTCAATTTCTTCTCTTTTCTGGATGCTGTTCTCTGTGAGCCCAGTGCCTGCCTGGGAAAGTTTCTCACAGGATCCTGCTCCAATTGGGCTGCCTGCTGCCAATGCTGCCTCTTCAAGCTCAGAAGGAAAGAAGCCCTAATGGCAGGAAACCATGCACTTTGTATGTGCAGTCAAGGCTAGTGTGGAAGGAAGGGGCATCCCAGCACCTGTCGGATAACTGCCAGGAGGGGCTGGAATCCCTATGGGTCAGCACTTTGGAGAACATTGAGGCTGTAGTCAGTTTGGAATTGACCCAGCTCAGCTTTACCTACAGGCTGCACCTGGAGGGAGGGTGACCAGGTGCACCTTGCTCTAGCCTACCCCACTCCACACCACCCTGGGATTTGGGAATAAGATTGTACTCTGAAAGTTAAACTTAAAAAATAAATGGCTGGGCACGGTGGCTCACATCTGTAATCCCAGAACTTTGGGAGGCTGAGGCGGGTGGATCACGAGGACAAGAGATGGAGACCAGCCTGGCCAACATGGTGAAACCCCGTCTCTACTAAAAATACAAAAATTAGCTGGACGTGGTTGTGCGCACCTGTAATCCCAGCTACTCAGGAGGCTGAGACAGGAGAATTGTTTGAACCCAGGAGGTGGAGGTTGCAGTGAGCTGAGATGGAGCCACTGCACTCCAGCCTGGTGATAGAGAGAGACTCTGTTTCAAAAATAAATTAATAAATAAAGAAAATTAATATCCAGGATTGTATCTGAGAGCTCTCAAACTGGCCTGAGAATGCAGGAATGTATTAATGTATTTGAAGTACAGCTAAACAATGAACCTCCCGTCCTCTGGCTCCGCTTTTGATTATAAGCTGGCTTCCATGTGGCTTATAAGGATAGCAGGTCCCAGTGAGGGGAGAGGAGTGTCTGGTTCCACTGTCAGTTCCATTTCCCATGGTAAATTAATACACTGACATTCAGCTTACACATGGGTCTCGGTGAGCCTGGGTAGCATAAGTCAGCAGGCCTAAATCCCATTATTGTGGGGGCACCACCAAGTTGGAAGATACCACTATGTTAAGGGCTAAGGCTGGACCCTGGGCCAGGGTGAATTCCCCGAGGTTGTGCCACCTTGTGAAGTTTCTGGGCAGTTGGCTGTTTCCTGTCTCCTGAGGTTGCTCCATCCTCACCTGGAGCCTTCCTTTCTAACCAGGTGATCTCCCTCTCATGTCCCCTTTATAGAACTGGACTTCCTTGTATAGCCTCACATGTGGGAAACTGCCCTATGAGCTCCCTTAGCACTGGGGAGAGCTTAGCCTCACGTGGGAACCCCCCCGCCAGGCCTTCAGAGCCTGCGCTGGTCTTACATTTTTGAAGCCCCGATAAAGGACCTGCAGCTCCCTCTTGGAGAAGTTGGTCTGGGCCTCGAGCTGCTCCAGTCCCTCGGGCCGATGGCAAACCATGGTCATCTCCAGCTCATCTTCAATCTTATCTGGAACCAGAGGAAATGGCATTGGAGCGGTTGAGCTCGGGGGTCGCTCTTGCTAGGTAACAATCTGGGTTGTCAAAAGGGTGGTGTCATAACCCGGGATCTAGGGCTGTGAGTGGGGGTCTCACTGCCGATGGCCTTCCTGTCTTAAACCCCACTTCCCTGCCCTGTCAGCCTCTGTGTCCGACACCACATAGTGAGGGGGCTTCAGCATTGGAGAGAAACATGTTCCCACTGGAGGCGAAGGCAGAGTGCTCAAAATAAATCCATATGAAAACACTTTCCTTGCTTTAAAAATAACTTCTTTGCATATTCAAATTGTTTCCCACTGAACCTTCTGAATATTCCAGAGACACAGGTAAGTAGGCAGAATGATAACCACCCTCTAGACAGCAAAGGGAAACAAAATTATTTTAAAAAACAGTAAATTCTCACCATTTGGGCCAACTAGGAATGGATAGCATGATTTGGTAGAAAGTTCAAATTACAGCATGTTAGGGATTAATGATAAAAATCTGAATGTATTTATAGTGCATTGTTTCATAATGTCTTCTAGGTATCCTTAAATACTTGCAAAAGATCTTAAATGGGAGTTAATTTGTATAAACCATTTGAAGGGTTCTAAAAAGAGTTGTTGTAAGTAGTAGTTTAAATATGCCTCCCATATGGACTATAATGTAATGTAAGATTGCATTCATTATTTAGAAAGTGTCTGTCAATTAAATTAAGGAATCTGCCCATCTCCCACTGAAGGATCACAAAGTCCAAGTCAGTGGAATTTTCAATGTTTTACCATCACAGAGTGGTAGGTGAGTGATTTCCTTTGGGCCCTGCCAGAATGCTTTCTATAAATTTACACCAATCAAGAATCAATTGCCATCCGACTTTTCTCTGTCTGTTGTTGTCATGCAGACATTACCAAATCCATATATTGAACGACTGTAAATCTGTGCTGGCAAGAATAGCGATGAGATGGGCGGCTGCCGGGAACATACACAGACCACGTCTCAGCCCGTAGCAACCCACAGCACGCACAGGCTGAGTTTCCACATCGGAGAACAAGGTGAGCAGGTGTGTGAAATTGTGTGCATTTCTCTTAATCAGTGTTGGTTTCATGGCACCAGATTTTCTCTGCAATGTCACTTTCCCTTTTGAGACTTTGATCCCAATACAAAAGGAATCCATCAAATTAAATTTGTATCTTGTACATATCCCCAAAGGTGATGGGTGTTTGTGTGAGGCTCCAGTAACTTGGTAGCAATTCCTAATTGCCATCTTTCTCATGTGCTGGGCAATACATATCACCTTATTCTGCTGGGACTAAGGCAGATGATTTGTTACAAATAAGATACTGTTTACACCACAGAGAGACAAGTGGCCAATTTCCTTGGAATTCATAATTCTTACAGAGCCTTTAATTATTGTTATGTTTGTAGCTAACAAGATAAGTAGCAATTATCTAAAAGCTGAAGCATTTCTATGTAAATGAAAAGGCTTGTTCTCAAAAAGAAAGAAAGAAAAGGAGAAAAATTCACATAAGTCTAATTCAGAATGCTTATATATTTAATATTTTGCATCTATTTTAACCCATTTTAACATAAAAATTAATTGTTGATTTAAATCTCCTAGCATTAGATCTAAAAGCATTTTTATTTTAAAAATGCTTATCTATTTCATTGCGCATAGATTCACAGGAAACTTCTGAAGGGGCTGCAGAGGTTTTCACCTCCCTCCTTTTGCTCCTTAGGAATTCCCTGGCTACTGCCCAGGTGGCTTGAGCAAAGAAAGGAGATGAAGCAAAAATCACATTAAAATGCAAATAAACAAAATGGGAATATTGTATTTTTTGAGTAAATGAGGTATTCTTGAAGACACCCAGCATACTGTTAGATTTATCTTAGCCAGAAGCATGAAAAGATTTTTTTACAGTACTCTTAATTCCTTGATCTTCCTGTGACTGAATTCCTCACAAGCTCAGGGAAATTTCTTTGCAGGAGCTTGAGAGACTCTTTCTGACTCAGAAACAGCACTTGCTTCCCAGCACCTTCATAAAAAATGCACTAAGTCATTATTGATATATCAACTATTAAACCCACTTCATTAAGGAGGAACTGACTTTATTACTAAATGAGTTGTTTGCTGTCTGGGCAGGAGGATCAATTTCCATATCAGACAGGTTCTGTAATATCTGCATATTTGGATGCTGACTGCCAAGCTTTTGTTTTGTTTTTCATTTTCATCATTGGCTAAGTGTCAGGCTTCAGTAATATCAGCTGTGGAAGGAAATTTACTTCTCGGGGGCTCAAGATGCTGGGATGTAGCCTGCCTGTGGATGTTAGGGGCTTAAACCAGTGGCCCTCTCTTTCTTTTTTCTTTCTTCTTTCTTTTACTGTATTTTATAGTAAGAACTATAATTTATGCCACAATCCAGTGTACACATGTATATTAGCAAAACGTTAATGAAATATTTTGAAACAGTACTCCATGAAGTGATCCCGTCCTTCACTTATGTGAGCTGTGCTCCGGCCTCAGTTTTAATGTATTTCTTTGTAAACACGTGCTGGTTGGGATTCTCACGGGTCATGACTTTTGACTGGACAGCACTGATTTAGCTTGTCTACAGCTGTGGCAGCCTCACAGGGGTGCCCACGCTGCCGCTCTCACATCAGCAGTCCCTTCCTTTTTTTTTTTTTTGAGACGGAGTTTCGCTCTTGTTACCCAGGATGGAGTGCAATGGCGTGATCTCGGCTCACCACAACCTCCGCCTCCTGGGTTCAGGCAATTCCCCTTCCCTTTCTTTGTATGCCTCATGGTGCTGGCTGCTGTAGATACATTCACAAGAAACTGTAGAGGTGACGGCCGTGGTTTTCACCCTGCTCCTGTTGCCCCACGGGGATTCCCTGGATGAAGCCCAGGTTGTCCCAGGAAAGGAAGGAGAATGGCCCAGTTCCCTGGGTGCAGGAGGGACCGTGAACCTATGGGGAGCCTCCTTGACAGTTTCTTCCGAGGTTTGTTCAAAGTCTCTGATGCCAGATGCTGCTAGTCATTATTTTTGCTATAAAAAATAATGATAAGCCAGTTACTAAGTCACACTTGAGTTTGGATGGTTGAGATAAAAATTAACCTTGAGAGGTAATGCTGTGGTGATAATTACATAACAAGAATAAATTAGAGCACCTTCTGCTTGTAAAGTACTTTTAAGCCATTCAGTGTTCTTATGGCTGTTGTTCCATAACCCTGTGTGTGATGGGAGCGAGGGGACCACCGCCCTGCCTGTGTGATATTAAGAAGTGATTTTCTAACTGAGTGCCTCACACAGTGTTGAATACCTGTCACTCGGGACAAAGAGAGAGAGAATCACCAACTCGAGAGGATGCTACGCAGGAAATTCTCAGATCAAATAGTAGGTGGTTTAGATTAAGTGATCCTTAATGTTTTGGGATCATAGATTCTTCTGAGTGGGGAATGAAGGCTTTAGAGTCTCTCAAGAACATACACAGTCACTGCACTTTTGCCTATTCAGTCACGAGTCGCCAGTTACTAAGTCACACTTGAGCATACCACAACAGGGGTATGCTCTGAGAAATGTGGTGTTAGGCAATTTTGTCATCTTGTGAACATTGTGGTGTATATGTACACACACCTAGATGGGATCGCCTACTACACACCTAGGCTGAATGGTATGGCCTGCTGTTCCTAGGCTACAAACCTGCACAGCATGTTACTGTGCTGAACACTGAAGGCAATTGTAACACAACGGTAAGCATTTTTAGTATTTGTGTATCTAGACATACTAAATCTAGGGAAGGTCCAGTAAAACTACCGTGCAAAAAATAAAAAAATGGTACAACTAGGAGGGCAATTACCACGAGTGGAGGTTACAGGACTGGAAGTTGCTCCGGGTGAGTCGGTGAGTGATGGTGAGTGAATGTGAAGCCCCAGGATATTACTAAACACGATTTAGACTTTATACATACATACACTTAGGCCTATGCTAAATTAATATTAATTATGAATTAATAACACAGAGCTATACTAAATTAATTAATATACTAAATTAATAAAAATGTTCAGTAATAAATTAACCTTAGTTCCCTGTAACTTTATTTTACAAACTAATTGATTTTTTCAAACTTTTGGACTCTTTTGTGATAACACTTAGCTTAAAGTACACATTACCTAGCTGCACAAAAATAGCTTTCTTTATTTTCTTATTTTATAAGCTTTTTCTCTATTTAAAATTGTTTTATTTTATATTTTTACCTTTTAAACTTTTGTTAGTTAAAAATGGAGACACAAACAACACATTAGCCTGAGCCTACACAGGGTCAGGAACTAGGCCACAGGAATTTTTCTTCTCTGTTATGATCTTATGGGACTGCAATCATGTATGTTCTGTTGTTGATGGAAACGTTGTTATGTGGCTCATGACTGTACTTTCAGGGAGTTTCTGTGTCTTTTAAACATGTCCAGCCCATGCTAAGGTATTCTAGCATAGGAGATCTAAACCTTGTCACTAACTGGCTTTGTCTGAGTCCTAACTCATTGGGCAATGGGTGACAAAGCTGGACCTAGAATCCAGCCAGTTCAGGCCCCTTTCATTATGTCTGGTCCCCATGGTGGCTTCTGCTTCTCTCAAGCACAAATTGCAAACCGGCTTGTAGCCAGTCTTGCAGCACCCCTGCTCCTAAGAAGCTGTATGCCTCTGTACCAGTTAGACCCGGACTGTGAGCAGTGGGAGGACCCACACCTTGGGTCTCTCCCCAGTGAGGTGTCCCCTTGGTCAGGCTCAGGATAGTGACCATGACCATCTCCTCCCTTGACTGCCCAATAGTGCCTCTCCCATGGTGTCTCTAGTTTGGACTTTATATTTACCCATCTGGCTTTGAGGTATAAAATAGTGATCCTTGGCCTGAATGTGGCCCACAGATACGTCTTGTTTGACCTGTAAAATGTGTCCTCATTATTTTGGAATTGGTTGTCCATGTTTAAAGATAAGAGATCCATGTACAAATTTGGATGTCTGATTTGTCTTGGAAAATGGGATTATTTGATCACTTTGGTCTCAAATTCTGACATGGCAGCAGCTCACTAGAGCTGAGCAGTGACTGTCACCTCTGGGCAGCCACAGCCTCTAGGATGCCTTATTGTTCACCCCTGGCTCACAGAATTCATTCACGCTGCCTGCCTGGAACAACAGGTGTTGAGTTTTTGGTTTTTGATCTGTACCGCCTTACCCTCCCACCTACCAACCACACAGTCTGCTCTTCACTGTTTATTTAAACACATGCCACTTTGTTGCACAAACAACTGGAAGCTGATTATAGCAAATAAATATGAAGTAAAAAGAGATAAAGTAATAAGAAAAACTGCCCCAGTAAATGTTGATTAGATTAGGAGGTCAAGACCAGGGGGAAAAAGAGAACACAGAAATTCAGGCCATTTGTTTGAAACAATTGTTACACTTGATCTGCATACGGACTCTTAGTTTTTACAAATGTCTGTGAAAGGAAAACATAACCATTTCGTAGGGGGAGCAAAGCTTTTCCTATAACTTGTCTCTAAAAGAACATTTCCAACTGTTTCTATATATGTGAGGCTTTCTAACAAGGGGCACAAAAAGCTGGTGAATGAGAAGACTAATCACAAAACATGAACTTGATTAAGAAGCTCTGCCTTTGCAGTCATGTGACCCAAGTCAAGTTAGTATAAACTGTTTTTTACCTCTCTGATACTGGTAATACCACCAGGCGATGTCTAGGAAAGAGTGAGAAGACATTTTACCAAATCCATTCATCAAAAAGCAAAACACACTTTTATTGTCAATGGAGAGAGGCCACTCTGAGGGTGTCCACGTCGCTGTCCAGCTTGACATATGCAAAGAGCCTCTCTGTAGCAGAGCTGGAGCTGAGCTCCCTGTCCTTTTCCCATGGCCAGAACAGGCAAGAGCAGTGGGTTGCCTCCCAGTGCCCATGGCTCCCGCAGGGACTCACTGAACATGCCCTCAGCCATGCAGTCATGCAGCCTGCAGAGATGGGATGGCACGTGGCAGAGATGTGCGATGTTGGATGAGTCCTTGGAAACACCCGCGTGTTTGACTGAGGAGTGGCTTATAAGATGCCCTCCACAATCAGGAGGCCCCCATTCCCGCACTCTGCTTCTTTGTGATTGGAAGCTGCCTATCTTGTAAGATTATTTGCTTGCTCACTCAGCAACCATCAATGAAGTATCTACTAGGTACATGTCAGTGAATAAAACAGCTCTGTTCTGTGCTCTCTTGGAGCCTACATCTATAGGTCTTTGCTTCTTTCTTCCCCTTTTAAGCTTGATTAGTAACCAGATGCAGAAAAAGAAAAGGGTAGTTGCAGAAGAAGATTAGCACATTAGGGTGTATGGCAGAGTGGATGCCGGCCAAGTCCTTCATTATGCTGAATATAAAATATATGACAAAACACCAGACCTGCAAAGTTATCCATGGCACAGTGGAGCTGGGTGAGTCCAAGGTCCCTGGGAGCTCTGCTAGATGCTCTCCTGCTGGCCTTTGTGTGTCTATTTGGTGGTCAGCCTAGCTTTCCTCTGTAGGCTCTTATTTGAACTTCCTCTTGTCTTGCCAGCACCCTTGACCATGAGTGTGTAAGGCAGCCCAGCCACCATCTTGAGTGTGTTTTAGTGTCTCTCCTGTCCCCCAACCTGCAATCCCAGATGGCAGCTCTTCCAAGTGATGGAATAGGTGAGCATCCATTGTAGTGTTTTCACTCCTCTCCTGACCTGTATCCCGTGGGAGAAACTTATTTTGCTGGATTTCGTTGCCCCTTTGATCATTCTGGTTAGGTGGCATTTGTATTTATTTATTTTTACAAATATACTTTATTTTTAGAGTCGTTTAGGTTATAGAAAAATTGTGCAGAAAATATAGAGTTTCCATATCCACCCTCACAGTTTCCTTATTATTGTTATTCACATCTGCATTGGTGTGGTATATTTGTTGCAATTGACGAACCAGTATTCATATGTAAATATTAACTAAAGCCCGTAGTTTACATTAGTGTTCGCTCTTTGTGTTGTACAGTTCTGTGGGTTTTGACAAATGCATGATGTCATGTATTCACTATTACAGAAGTATATAGAATAGTTTCACTGCCCTGAATGCTTTGGTAGCAATTTAGTATATATATGTCTACAAATATGCATTGACATGCTCTGGTATGCCAGGAATGCCATAGGTACTTGGAGAGAGATGAAAAGACGTATCATCTGTTCACATGGTATCTCAGATTGCTGAGGAGGCATACACATAGACCATGGATTGGAAACTCAAATGCCAGTAGTCATTGGCAGGTAAGTCAACTGTGTACAACTATGGAGAATGGTGGAAACTGAGAACTGGAGAGTAACTGCTCCATGAAAGGGAAACGGTTGTTATTCAACAAGTTGTTATCATGCAGTAATTTAAGCCCAGTGAGTCCAGATCTTTAGATTTTTCAAGAGATGTCATAATTAACAATGGTTCTTTGCTGTTATCAATGAATTTGACTTTTAAAACATATAGTATATACCATACACAACACAACTTTGGAAAGGACATTGTGGGCTGCTGGTCTGGAATTTTTCATTGGCAAATCATTTCAAAACAGTGTTGACATAGTTAAGAAGTGGGAACTGAGAGGAGGAAGCTCTTACTGCCTCCTGGGTGGCACGGGACTAGAAGGGATGTCAGAGAAGGCTTCAAGGGGAGGCAATAATTCAGTTGAGTGTTGAAGAATGAGGGGACAAGGGAACAGCATATGCAAAGGCACAGAAGCTGAAGATCCCAGGAGTGGTGAGCTCTCCTATGCAGCACTAGAACCCCTTGAGAACAACCAGAAAGAAAAAGGATTAAAAAAAAAAACCTCATCATTTTTGAAGGCTTTGGAGAGCTACCAAGGCAGATTGCATGAAAACAGCTCAGTCCATGTTTGGATTAAGTGTATCTGCCTTTGCCCTATTACCTCTCAGAAGTTGAAGACTCAGCCAGATAGGTGACATAGCTTTTATTCCAAGGTGCACCCTTCAGTAAATATTTGTCAGGCATATTAAGAGACAAGACCAAGAGAAAAAATGGAATCTAGTAATAGATCTATAGCTGATCTAGATAATTTGATTAATCATATCTGGGCTTTAAAAGAATGGCAAACATATGCTTAAGAAAATATTTAAAAAGCTAAAGAATTCCACCAGAGAACCAGAAGAGATACAAAAAGTCAATTAAAAATTGTAGAAATGAAAAACATATGATCCAAAATTAATAATTAAGCAGACAAATTTAAAAGCAGGTTTGACATAGATGAAGAGATAATAAATGACTTAGTAGATAGATGAATCAAAAATACACAGACTGATGCACAGAGAAAGGGAAGAATGAAATCACAGACCAGGCATGGTGGCTCACACCTGTAATCCCAGCACTTTGGGAGGCTGAGGCGGGCGATCCCTTGAGGTTAGGAGTTGGAGACCAACCTGGCCAACATGGGGAAATCCCATGTCTACTAAAAATACAAAAATTAGCTGGTCGTGGTAGTATGTGCCTGTAGTCTTAGCCACTTGGGAGGCAGGAAAATCACTTGAGCCCGGGGGGATGAAAGTTGCAGTGAGCTGAGATTGCACCACTGCACTCCAGCTTGGACAACAAAGAGAGACTCTGTTTCAAAAAAAAAAAAAAAAAAAAAATGGAATCACAGACAAGCTTGCATAAGATACATCTGGGACACGATGAAAAGTTCAAACATATGTCTAATTGGAGTCCCAGAAAAGAAGGAGATAAATAATGATAATGAAGCAATATTTGAAGAGTTAATAAATGAGAATTTTTAAAAAGTTAGTGAAATATATCAAGACACAGACTCAAGCAGCATTACAAACCCCAAGCAAGATAAACACAAAGAAAGTCACTTATAAGAACATCATAGTAAAACTGCCGAAAAATTAAAAAATAGAAAATCTACAATATAAGATAGAAATCATCAGATATAAACCAAACCCTGACCAAATGCTGCTGGTAAGCATAAGGGCACAGAAAATAAAAATGAAATGATGAAAAAAGATGTATCATGCAAACACAAATCAAGAAGGGCTGGTATAGCTTGGTTTACATCAGCTAAAGTAGACGTTAAGGCTAGTAACTTTGCTAAAGACAGAATTCTCATGTAAAAGGGTCCATTTACTAGGAAGATAAGACAATTCTAAATTAATATGTACGAATAATGTAGACTTAAAGTGCAAAATGAAGCAAAGACTGATAGAATTAAGAGGAGAAATAACAAATTCACAGTCATAATTGGAGCAATTTTTAAATACCTGTTTTAGTAGCTGATAAACAGACAAAAAAAATCAATAGAGGTGTAGAAGTTCTGAGCAACATAATTAGCAAACTTGTCTCATTGAGACTTATGGAGCTCTGTACTCAGCAATCATAAAATACTACACTTTTTTTCAAGTGCACATAGAATAGTTACCAAAAGTGACCATTTCCTGAGCCATAAAGCCAAGCCAATATAAAAAATATTTCAAGAATTGAAGTTATTTAGACTGTTTTTGTCCAGAGTGGAATTAAGCAAGATATCAATAACCAAAAGAAAACTAGGAACTCATAAAAATATTTGGAAGTCAAGCAATATAGTTCAATTTCTGTTTTTGAGACAGGGTCTTGCTATGTTGCCCAGGATGAAGTGCAGTGGTGAGATTTCTACCCACTGCAACCTCTGCCTCCCAGGCTCAAACAACCCTCCCAGCTCAGCTTCTCGAGTGGCTGGAACTATAGGCCTGTGTCACCAGGCCCGGCTAATTTTTTTGTACTTTTTATAGAGACGAAGTCTCATTATATTGCCTAGGCTGGTCTTGAACTCCTGGACTCAATCACTCCTCCTGCCTCGTCCTCCCAAAGTGCTAGGATTATAAGTGGGAGCCACTGTGCCTGGCCTAAGTCAATTTCTAAGTAACTCATGTATCAAAAAAGCAACCTCATGGTAATTAAATCAAGGCAATTTTGAACTAAATGATGATGAAAATATGACATATCAACACTTGTAGAAAGTTATTCAAGTTATACCCTGGGGAAAATTTAAAAGAACATCACATACTTGAGCTGCAAATAATTTACAGAACTGTGTGCATAGAAACAAAGAATGCTGTGCTTCCTCTTGAAATTGTATTCCTAGTACTTTCAGTGGTTCATTTTCAATGTTGCCTGAGCTATATTTGCTACATTAGATAGTGTATTAGTGATGGCATGCTGGAATTTGAAAATGTAACCTTTCCGTCTTTTTAAACATGGTTGATTGGTTTGTTCTAGATAAGTTTGGCATCATCTTTTTTAATCGACAGCATTTCCTAATAAGGGGCAAAAATCTTCATTGGTGCTTGCTTGGCGCCGAGTGGGGAGAGGGTGGAAAGTCTTATTTGGCCCTTCAGCTTTAAGGCTTAGGCTCTTACAGCCAGGCTTGGAGGTGACTCATAAGCCCACTCAGACCCACACAGTGCACACAACTCATCAGCTCTGAGTTTTATAAACTTAACAATGAGCCCCAGGAGTGCTAAGCTAAGCCTTGATAAAGATTTTCTGAGCGTTCCACGTATTTTTTTCAGTCTTCTCCGTTCAATAAAACTCAAATCATGTTTTGCTTCAAGCATTTGTTCTCTTAATCTTGAAACCCCTTCTGCTCCTTTTAAGAAAATTGAATTTATACATTTCCCATTCATTTATATACCTCAGTCCTGAAAATGTCCTGGAAAAAGGAGTTCTACAAAAAAAAAAAAAAATCTTTGAGTGCTTTCTACTTCCATTAGAGTTTCAAGATCAAATGACTTGGAAATTCTTCAATATATAGTGTATTTCAGTACACTGCTCTTTCTCTCCAAATGAGGGTGTGTTTT